GAAAGAGTGAGAGAATATTTAAATGAAAATAAGCTTATTTAAGATTACGTAGCACACTCTGAACAGTGAGGTTTATTCTCATCAGAAGAAGCTGCCTTAGATTTTTAATGAATTACACAAAAAAGCAACTATTTTTCCGATTTTCACTTGCTCTTGCAATTTCTTTGGGAAAAAAAAAACCCTAAAAATGTCACAGCATGCATCACAAATATTTTTAGTTTTAGAAAAGCTGCATTTTAGGCTGCAAAAATCCTGGAAAGACTGACTGGTCTAGTTTTGATCCCACATACAAACATTGTTCATTTCAGATATTAAAGAATAGACTGGGACCATTTTCTTCTTCCTCTTTGCTATCACTTGCTCTTATCACCTCTGTCGTTATAAACTGTATGCCAGGCCCTAGCATCTATATGTAAAATCCTGAATGATAAAAACCCATTGACTGAGAGGTGTAATCCCACTAATTACATCTATATTTTGTATACTCTATGGCCTTTGGTCCACTGTATAAAGGAGTTACTCTGACATTATTCTCAGTTGACTTTCTCAGACTCACTCTCTGGGTCTGTAAACTCACAATATGCTGGCATACCATTAAACACCCCAATACAGCAAACTTCTGAACAGGACCTGAGTATTTCTTCAACAATACTAAGATAACAGAACAATACGAACTGACTGACACACTCAAAAATATGTCAGTATTAAAATACAGTATCACAGCACTGTGTAATGAAACAGTGTGTACGTGTGTATGGGACCTGGTGTAGTCCATGATGGTGTTAAGGCGATGTGCTATTGTCAGGACGGTGCAGTCCTCAAACTGAGAGTGGATGGTGGACTGTATCAGGTTGTCTGTCTCCATGTCCACAGCTGCTGTGGCCTCGTCTAGAACCAGGACCTTGGTCTTCCTTAGCAGAGCTCTGGCCAGGCACACGAGCTGCCGCTGACCCACACTGGATGGAAAACAAACAGGCAAACACTTGTTCCTTAAGTCCATTTGGGCTCAGGTCCAGGTCAGTGCTGATCAAATAAACAAACAGCTTGTTTGTGGTCAATCAAGCACATTATGAGGATCTATCATGGGAATATTGCTTTTATGGCATTATGGGGAAACAGAGTTGCCCCTTTGTGGACATTTGCATTCTGAGTGCTGTCTAGTGGAGACAATTTTCACATTGTGTTGTCTACCAGTAAAGACGATTAAGTAATTTAAACTACAAAAAGGCTTTTACTATGAAATAACTGTGCAAGAAGTCGTGGCTGTAACTGAGCTTAATACGGATTGAAAAACCATCTAAGTAGAAGCAACTTAATTAGTGAGTAAGAACAGTGTTAGTGTGCTGCAGAGCAGAGTGGTGAGCATAAGGTGACCAGTGTTGGACAGATAGAATCAGTACTGTGGAAATAAGAGGTCAACAGAGAGGAAAGTTGAAGTTTTCATCAAAAGAAAATTTAAGCAGAAGCAGTATATACGGTATATTTACATACGTGTCTCATATAAGGCAAAGGCTTGGTTGTCTCTGCTCCTGAGGGGTAAATGTAATTTGCATGGCTGTGTATAAAGCAGTTATACCCGAGGTCAGTGTTGCTTTCGTCAACGAAAATTATGACTAAATATTGTCGTCAACGAACCTTTATCACGTGATGAAAACGAGACGAGGCAACGTAAATGCTGGTCATGTGACGATGACTATAATTAAATGTGTAATGCAATATTGTTGATGAAAAAATGAGACTAAATGTGGTTTACAAAATAAAAACTATGCTAAAATGTCTCTTCATTTTCGTTGACAAAAACGAGACGAAATGAAATGTTATGTTATTTCATCTCGTTCAGTCACGTTATTATTATTATTTTGCAGTATTTCTGTTTCCTGTGTTTCGCTTCAGGGGCTGCATCAGGTCACACTGTGCAGACGCAGGCGATGTCACTTCCTTAAGCCCCACTCGCGGGATTATTTAGAAGACGACAACAAACAAAGTTAAGTCTGACACAGAGAAAGGAACTGATGGCCGGCCAGACGGGGTTCGTCTTTGGGAGAAAAAATGGGAGAATAAATGACATTTGGAAAAACTTTCATTACATAGAAGTGGGAAAAAAAAAACAATGTGTTGTGGAAAAAGATGGGGAGAAATGTGGCCACAAAATCACACAAAATGTGTATTGGATGTATTCTTGAGTCTATAAGGTAACAATAATATAATAAGATAACCTTGTTTGAAATGGGTTTGACTAAAAGAAACGTTTGGTTTCCTCTATACTACTAGATACTTATACTATATTGACTGGGTTAAATAGAATTGCATTACTAAAATACAATTTTCATTGACTAAAACTAGACTAAATGTCATCAGTTTTCGTCGACTAAAACTAGATGAAAATAGCCATGGATAATTCTGATTAAAATAAGACTGAAATGCTCAGACTTTTAGTTGACTGAAACTTGACTAGGCTAAAAAGAGTATGAACGTGACTAAAACTAATAAAAACTAAAATGACAGCTTCACACAAAGACTAGACTAAAAATAAAATTAAAACAGGCCGCCAAAAACAACTATACCTGAGGTTCCCTCCACCTTCACTACACTCGTGGCTCAGTTTATTGGGCAGGCCAGACACAAAGCTCTTGAGATGGGAGAACTCCAGAGCCCTCCATATTTCCTCATCAGAGTAGCAGTCAAAAGGATCAAGGTTCATCCTCAAAGAGCCTGAAAACAGCACCGGGTCCTGAAGAGGAGAGAGTGAGCCATATATCAGTGCATCACATCATGGGACCAACTGTGTTGTCTGGATTTCTCAGTTAGCTGTGCCCTGTTCCTCTGTCTCTTCCTTAGAAGGGTGCTGCCCATGAAATATTCAGAAGGAGTGAGCCAACTGCCCACAAGAAAACTGTGTTGCTCACAACTGCCTTTCCTTTGTCTCCTGAGAAGTAAATCACATTCACAAGTCTGAACTTTCCGTCCTTGCTCCTTTTTCTCTCTTTGCTCTTTGTCCCTTTCGGAGAAACATGGAGCAACAGCTACAAATTACTGCTGTTAACTGATCAGTGTTGTGGTATGTGAAGTAATAAATATTTGAAAATATATGTAGAGATAAAAATATGAGAAAAATAAAAAACAAGGGCACGGGAATATATTTTCCAGTGGGGAGGTGCTGCCTGGGATACATGCATGGCCACGTGTGTGCACACAAATGTTTTGGATAAAATTTGGGTGGAAATAACGTATACTGTCTTGCCTAGAATTCTTTCTATATTTTCACATGCTACTATATACAGTATCTTTGGACGTTTTCTAAAATCATCGCTTAACTTTGTTAGATGTGTATTAATGTAATGTTCCCACATAAACATTATGGTTATGATCCACAATCTCATTCACAACATTTAGCTCATCAGAACCAAGCAAACTCTATTATTAGCATGTAAATAACTTACAGAGAGATGCCTTTTTGGTTTACATGTGAATGAAAGCCTCCTCATCCCCAGATTTTGCTACTGACTGAACATATTAGGGCCCAGACATTCCCTAGGTAAGTACACAGACGCTTCAAGCTACGCAGGATCGATTTTATGCGTTAGGTTCTTGAGTGTGTCTCCTGAAAAAATCTTAACGTGACGCAAGCATGAGTTGCAATTTCTAGCTTTGCTGCTAGAGGTGCTGTATCATGAAAGAACAAGAGAAAGAAATATTTCACCTGTGGGATAATGGTGATTCTGGAGCGGAGCTCATGGAGGCCCAGTTGAGCAATGTCCACCCCATCAATGAAGATGTGGCCCTCTGCTCTCTCAATGATCCGGAACAGCCCCAGTGTTAGGGACGACTTTCCTGCTCCAGTGCGCCCCACAATCCCCACCTTGGGATTGGGTAGAAATGTCAGTAGATGGTCATAGACATACTGTACACACACATACATCAACTATACAGTCAAACTCAGTACAGACAGTCCCTCATCAATTCAGCCACAATCAGAATGTAGAGCACTGGAAGTTCACTACTGCCTGCTGTGTGCTGTCAGTGTTGTAGTCGAGTCACTAAACCTTTGAGTCCAAGCCAAGCCTCGAGTCCCCAGTGTTCCAGTCCAAGCTGAGTCCCTATTACCCGAGTCTGATTCATCAAGGTCTACATTAAATTGATGCAGTTCTCAACATTTTGAAAGGAGTTTACTTACTGTGTGTTACACAATAGCCAAACAAATGCACTCGTAACTACACGCACACGCACACACACACACACACACACACACACACACACTATGAAACACTGGGTGTGTAAATGAGATGATCATCACTTGTCAGTTTGTGGGTACCAAACTTAACAGTTTATTGCATCACCATATTGCTCAGTGATTTGATAACATAAAAATTAGAGATGTCCCAATCCAGGCTTTGTTTTTTTTTTATATTGAGTGTCTGCCGATGCAGATTCTGATCTGATACTTATATTTACCTACAGTAAAAGTTCATTAAATATCTGACATACTATAATTCATGTTAATCTAGTGCAATATATATTGGACCTTTTTGGTCCAAATACCAGATCACATCCTGGCTCCAAATTATGTTTATCTTAAATTATTGATATGAATAAAAGAATAACTGGGAGCTGGATGACACACTCTAAGAACTACAGATTAAATTACAATTGACAAAATCTTTAGTCGGGTACAGCCCTAGTGTGCAGATTGTAACATCACAGGAGGCTTGTGCTCATGTTTATATCAGGCACATGTTCACTTGCATGTAAGAAGCACTTGGTGCACAGACAGAGGAGCCATAAAACAGATGATGAGGAATTACTGTATATATATATATATATATATATATATATATATATATGTGCATCTTTATTTACAGTATATCGAACCCATGATAAAACACATCAAATAAAAACTACACACACCAGAACTGCATGTTCAGGAGGACTGATGTAAGAGGTTGTGTGTTTTAACTGTTTATGCCTGATGTATTTCTGGTTAGAGCTATTGAGCTTTCATTGTTCTGGTGTATTCAGTGGAGCAGTTTACACATGTAGCTCCAAACACTGACTTCAAGCTAAAAAATAGCCTTCAGGTTCCCACCCACACGCAGGCAGTGTACACAGCTGGACTGATTAACATAGCAGCTTATCAGCTGTGTGACATGTGCCTCTCAAAAACGCGACCAAGTCCGCTCAAATACATGACTGTAGTTCTAAATAAGGATCGGAATTGGATCAGCTTTATTCTGGCTGATACTGAATATCTGCCAATATCAGCGCCAATACCGATGTTCATATTGGATTAGGACATCTCTAATAAAAATCATTCATAGACAGGTGGAGGGTACGCTTCGATGGTAGTGTGCCAGATACAGCATGGTGTGGGTGAACACATTTTATTATCAATATCTTGAGCCACTGTCTCCAACTTCCGAGTTCAATGCAGTCAGTCCGAGTCATTGGTGTTCAAGTCCAAGTCAAGTCACGAGTTTGAGCCCTGGACTCGGGTGCTACGACAATGGCTGATGTACAGGCTTACCTTCTCTCCTCCGTTAATTCTGATGGTGATGTTGTGAATGGCCAGGTCCAGATCTTGGCGGTAGCGTAGGCCAAAGCCTCTGATGTCTATGCAACCATCAGTGGGCCAGCCTGGGGGAAGACTGGAGGGCTCGTGTTTCCACTCTGCCTGGTGGTCAGAGGAGACACATTTAAATAAACAAAATAAACTTGAAGAGCAATGTGTAAGAAGCATTGGAATGTTTTACCTGATTAGAGCAATTTCAATAGCTTTTTATATAGTTGTTTAACAATAAATTGTGTTTTATTAATTTGATACTATACAAGTTAACTGTAAGTGTTTTGTCACCTGGAAAAAGGTCCACACAAAGAACACTGGACCTGAATTTCACCTTTTGTATGTGATTAACAGTTACTACAGCTGTTGCTCCTACTGCCACCGGTTTAACACCTCACCTGGATGTGGATGTAGGTGCATCAGCACACACTTCTAACTATGGCCACAAAAACACACTTGAAATTTCCACGCACTGCGTCACTGCTCTTAGCCTGACTGTTCTTGAAATTAACTCATACTTCTCTCTTTGCTTTAGAACTGCAGTCAGTGATACCGTGTGATACCATGTTGTGCCATTTATGGGGTCGCTGAGGGGAAATGGCTTCATTTCTGGAAAGGTTTCATGTTTATCAGCTTATTGCACCTTTAACTCGTCCCTCACACCCATACCATCCTGGACTTGACAGAGAAATCATGGCTGTTGTGTGTGGTTTTGATGTCACCATCACTGCATGTAATTAAAATGCCCTCCTGGTGCCTAGACTTCTCTTACAACAACAAAATAAATATAAAAAAACAAAAAGATTCTAAACTGTGTTTTCTAGCATTTTCAAGAAGGAAGAGGGATTCGAGGAAAACTTCTCTCCAAAAACACAGCTCTCCAAAGAGTCCAATCCCTATGATGGCTACTTTTGTGTACCTCTTTCTCTGTGTCACTGTACTCCTTCACTTTCTCCACAGCCACTATGTTGGTCTCCACATCTGAGGACATCCTCACCAGCCAGGTCAGAGAAGCAGTCAACTGCACACGGAACAGAGGACAGCAGGAGGAGCATGAGAAGGAAACCTCTATATTATAAAGGGTCAGTTCATCAAAAAAAAAAAAAAAACATCTATTCATTTAGACAGTTTTGGTTTGAGATGTCCATTCAGATTATTGCCTCAACCTCAGTAAAGTGGCAGTGAATAAAATTTAGATGGTGGTATTAAGGAAACTTTAATTCAGCTCAAAAGCAGTGTGTCCTTCTAAAAATCCAACTTACTGTAGATAATCACCTGATCTCAGTGAATAGCTTGCCAGGGTGGTGGGATGCCATGTGCTTTCAGTTTCATGTGTGTTAACTGCTCCTGGCCAATACTCGCAATATAATTTTAAAAAAGAGATTTTAGTTAACTGAAATCATTTGTTAACCATTTAGCCTTTTCTGAATATCATATCACTTAAATAACAAAACAAAAGAGTGAACTCAGTTATTAATATGGCAGTTAGGTGAAACTCCTTGTAGTGAAGTGGCTGTTTGTCTCTGAGCTTCTTATTGGCAGCAACATTAGCTGTCAAACATTTTCAAGGTTCTCCTATCCTCCAAGCGCTCAGCCTCTCTCAGCGTGGGTATGAAGCCAACCAAGAGGGCGCTGACCTTGTAAAAGCTCACAAACGTTTATGACTCATACACTGAGTGATGTAATTAATTCAATATGGTGTTTTCTTATAAAACATGTGCAAAGCATCCTCTGTCCTCCAGGCGCTCAGCCTCTCTCAGCGTGGGTATGAAGCCAACCAAGAGGGCGCTGACCTTGTAAAAGCTCACAAACGTTTATGACTCATACACTGAGTGATGTAATTAATTCAATATGGTGTTTTCTTATAAAACATGTGCAAAGCATCCTGTAGGATAAAGAGGTGGTGACTTCTCGCTGCCCCTGAACAAGTTGTGAACTAGAACAGGTAGCACAATTGTGTTTACCTGGAGAGCATAGGAGATGGACAGGCCCATTATGCCTGGGCTGAGGCTCTCTCTGGCTATGACAGCAAAGAAAGCAGCAAATGACACGATGCAGTTTCCAACAAACTCTAGGCGAACTGCCAGCCACCTACACAAACACAGATTCATTGACATAATCAGTGAAGAAGACTAATGTTACATATTCAGTGCAACTAAAAACAAAACATTTCTTGAATTCTTAAAAATCCATTCAACCTTTGTGTTTCATTCCCATAAGACAGTGCATACTGTTGCAGCAAGTACTAAGTGTAGGAAGAGTGAATCAAAACAGTTCGTCTAACCTGTTAGCTACTATACTGGGGTAGTAAGCCTTCTGGCTATGGTCTACCCGCTGGTCGCTCTCATGGATGAAACGCTCCTGTTCACCAAAGGCTCGAATGACGGAGGTGCCCAGCAGTGTTTCATTGAAGTGGGTATAAATGGGTGAACGGCTAACTGACTCCAGACGCTTCAGCTGGCGAGAGGACGCCACATAAAACCTCTGGGCACAGGAACAACAGGCACATCAGACAAATGAAAATATATCATGACAATAAAATATAGTGCAGCTACAAATTGTATGAAGGAAACAGATTGCATTTGCAAGATATGAGTAGTATGGAAAGTATAAACCTTTTTTCCACATAGTACTCAATGTTTATAAAACCAAAATGTTTATTTATAAAAACACTTTGCTGCCTTGCCTTCAGAAAATCTCCCACTAACCTGCACAAAAAAGTAGAGCAAACCGAGAAAAGGAATGACGATAGCAACCAAGGGTGTGGCGATCAGGATGATAACACAAGCCCCCAATACACTGAACAAAGAGCCCAGGAACATCTTAAAAATGCTGGGGATGAGTGAGTCAATGGTGTCCATTTCCTTGGAAAAGCGGTTGACCAAGTTACCGCTGGGGGTTCGCTCAAAGAAGGACATAGGTGAACGCAGGACATCATACAACATGGACTGATGGAGGTAGCGGGATGCCAGGATGCCCCCAATGGACATGGAGAGGGAGAAACCAAAGACTGCCACACCTGCAAGAGCAGTGGAGTTCGTAGGGTAAGACAACTGTTGGCATATGGGTGCATTTTAGTTTATTTAACCTTTATTTTACCAGGAAAATGCAAGAGTGTACTGGCCAAGACAGGCATCAAGCTATAGCTGTACAGGCAGAGAAACACCAGCAAGATTCAAGATGTAACACTATTTTTGAGATTTAGTATCTGCTTTAAATGAGAGGGTGTGTCTTCAGCATAAGCATAGGCATGGGAATGTTTTTTTCTGTTGCCTGGGATACTGTATGTGCACACATGCACATGTTTATAATATAATTTGCTTGTAAATAATGTATATTGTCATACAGAAGATGAAAGTACAGTCAAAACTGTCTAGTTTTTTTGGTATGCTACATGTGGAATGTTTCAGATTTGGCCTTTTTTTTCCCCGTTTTTTTTTTTTGTGTTCTTCCAATGCAAGTAAAATAAATAAACATGAGAATATCAAAGACTTTGTGATGACAATAATTTTCTGGAAGAAGTGGTGCATTATCTGACAGAAATGCAGGGGTGCCAATATTTTTTGGCCATGACAGTAACTAACTTGCAGCCTGATGAGATGCCTTTGTCATTTACATCCTCATCCCCAGCTCCCCACACAGCTGACAGACAGAGGCAGCAGCCTGTTGATCCCCAGAGACTCCGCTGTTGCTCTCTTTTGCAGTGGCTGGCTCTGTTGTGGTGCCGTTGCTAACGTTTGCTGTTGTAACCATTTCTGCTTCAGCATGAGCAATGATGTTTTCATCTATGTTCTCACTATTGTTAGTAGTGGTAGCATGTTGGTCTTCTTTGAAATAACGTTACTTAAGGTAAAAAAAAAAATCGGATCCTCATTGCTGTTGTTTCCCACTGTTACTGTGGAAAGCTCAGTTGAGGGGTTTTCTCAACAAATCATTTTCACACAACCATTGTCCTCTGTTTTGAACTTCTATGTCTACAATTTAAACAAAATTTGTTATTATTGGATTTTATTTATTTATTTTAATCTTTTACTGCTGAGTATAAGATGCTACCACCTTTAGCCACCACTGGGGGTGCTGCAGCACCCTCAGCCCCCCTCTTCTCATGCCTCTGAGTGCAAGTGTGAATGACCCAAAAAAAAAAAAAAAAAAAAAAAAAAAAAACCGGTCATGTTATTCTGGCATTTATGTCTCTCATTCTCAAAAGTTTCTTGGCTCAGTGTTTTCTTTCTGCATATTGTAACTGCTTCTCACCCCCTTCACCCCTCCTCACCCTGGGTCAGGCCGAGAGCACCATACACCCCTAGCCTCCTCATTCTGTCAGGCTGAGTGCCATTAACCACAGGGTCGTCGGTCCACAGGCTCAACCAGTAGTTGGAGAACAGGGAGAGCAGGTGATGGGCAAGGAACAGCAGCAAACTGATGCAGGATAGAAGCACTCCAATGGCTTTAAAATAGGCCCAGAACACAGAGAGCTTAACCTGGGGAGGGAGAGGAGACCAGTTAGGATCAGGCTGTGACTAGGACCATCACATAGTGCATATTGATGTACAATGATGAATTGTGGTTGAGCAACGTCTACCTACCTGTCCCGTGCTGGCCTTGTCGGCCTCTGTTAGCTTGCCCAGCTCGGGGTTCTTAGCATCCTTGCTGATTTCCTTGTCCTCCTTGCCCAGTTTCAGATCACTGCTGACATCTGGACTGTTGCTAACACATGGAAGAATGTACTGTTCATTTTGTTAACAAATCTCATGTGCAGGCCCAAATAAACAAGGAATTGCTCCTACTAACCTACTAAGATATTGTGTGTGCATCTACAGCCGGATATATTTAGTGTGCCACAGAGCATCACTGTTGTCTGTTTTCACTCACCCAGCGAGAGCAGTCACACTGCCATTTTCTGTTCCTTTGGTTTCAGTCTTTGGCACCGATTCTGGATGTAGGAAGCAACCAAAAACAAAGATTTATGACAAAAGGATTGATCTGCAAACACTGCAGCAAACAAACACAGTTAATATCCATTGAGCAGATGTCCTCATTCTCAGCACTGCAGTTAAAAACCTTTCCTTGGAAAATAAAATATCTCACAGCCAAGATACACAGTCACTCCTGTTGTGTACAGGGCATTGTGCTCACCATTATGGCCAGTGTGTTCGACAGCAGCGTACGTTCGCACGAACTCAGCAAAGGCTCCTTCTGTGGCCATGAGCTGCTGGTAGGAGCCCATCTCTGTGATTTCTCCCTCCACCATCACCAGGATCAGGTGGGTCTGGGGTAGGTAGCTCAGCCCATGGGTCACCAGCACACGAGTCTGCGAACACCCACACGCCTTTGATATGCTTGTGTGTAAATGGTGATTTATATACTATTATAATGTCAGTAAATTGTTCCACGTCAGCCCTACTGCAAAACTGTGGTGTTACAATATACACATATGAAAAGCCTAAATGCTCTCCACCAGAGAGTCTCATTCAGTCCCAGACACATTTTTTGTGTATGTGCATGCCGTTCATCATGCTCATTTTTCTGTCAACAGTAAAATTAATGGATCACTTTGCACTTAATGTGAATGTGAGCGTCTATATGGCAAAGGTCTCGTTCAATATGGAGAGCTACTTATTGAACCACAGAGTTGGGAGAGACCAGCAGGGAGATACCGAGTTCACTGGCCACGGGTTTTCGACTGGCAAAGAATGTCCAGGTATAGCCATAGTGATATTTAGTTTATATGTATATACAGTGCCTTACAAAAGTATTCATACCCCTTGATGATTTCAAGATTTTTTACAAACAAAAATCTGAAAAGTGTGGCACGCATATGTATTCAGCTCCCGAGTCAATACTTTGTCGAACCGCCTTTCGCTGAAATTACAGCTGCAAGTCTTTTGGAGTATGTCTCGGATGGTTACGTTTGAGATCAGACACACCTTGTCCTTCAGCAGTCCCTGTGGGCCGACGACTTGATCAAAGATGTGTTTTCCTACGTGAGCATCAACGGCAGACAATGGGTCATCCAGCAGGTAGACAGCTCGGTCACAGTAGACAGCCCTGGCCAGGCTCACCCTCTGCTTCTGACCTCCAGACAGATTCACTCCCTGTAAAGATGGAGAGGCACACAGAAATAGAGACGAAGCTAGAAACAAGGCAAGGCCACTTCATCCTTAAAAGACTTTTAGACCTTGTGTCACACCTGTATGTGTTTTTAAATTTATAAAACCCTCACTAACAGAGGTTAAGAGATCATAGGAAGTATAACTGATAAATTGATCAAAACTACGAGGCCTTCTTGTTGGGAAGTTGGAGACAGTAAAGTAGAAGCTCCCTTGTGTCAAGACTGAGCCGCTCCCCATAACCACACACCTCAGGGGCAAGGACGTCCTTCTACATGAAGTATGAACACACTGAGGAGGAACAAGGAACTACAATTTCTAATTTTAGACAACAATGTCTAGACTTGTTTGAAAAAGCCCCATGCCAAATTAAACTAGAATCAAAACTGAGTTACTTCATGCTATGCAGCAACATGTCAGCATGTTGAATAAAAGGAAAACTACTGTGGCTGTGGAGCTTTCTACATCTTATTCCATTACAGTGTTTTAAACACAGACAATTCAACCAGTAGTGTTCCACTGCGCAGACAAACGGACTCTGCGATCATAAACTGAACCTTTTCTCCGATCTCGGTCTTGTCTCCAGCAGGAAGGATCTCCAGGTCAGGCTGCAGGGCGCATGCCTCCACCACACTCTGATACCAGGCTTCTCTCCTCTCCTGACCAAATATTATGTTGTCTTTCAGAGTGGAATTCTGGATCCAGGCCTGCTGGGGGACATAGGCTACTGAACCCTGCAGGGTGACACACACCAGCGCACAGTCAGAGCATAGTCCTGATCCCCAGAGGATGAATGTCCACCCGCCCCCCAGCCCACGGGTGTGCAATATTGTTAGAGGTGATTAGACAGATATGATGCTAGCAACTCACATTCATTAAAAACAAAACAAAACAAAACAAACTGTGTTATTAAATTCTGTGTGTTTTCTCCACACCACCAGTTCTGACTTCTGCCATCGCTGGGAGGTGGTCATCTTTAATTCTGTGAGCTGGCCAGACTACACAGTGAACCTGCTGGCTGTTGTCTGGTTAGGGTCAGTGTTCTTCTACAAAAACAACACAAGGAATAACCCTTGAAAATGAAAAACTACACTATGATGATTTCACAATTTTATAATAGTGTGAAAAACCAGCTTCACCTTTTGGTCACCAGCCTTGAACTCAGGTGGTAAAAGAACAGCTGTCTCTGTGTGTAAACTCTGATTCTCTGTCCTTTTGAACAAAGACATGGCCTGTGCACTGCTGTGAAATCTGAAAATCATGACACTGCTGACTGCTGAAAAAAACAGCAGGTTGAGAGGGTTCTGTGTGCACTGTGGTGAGCGAGCAAGAGCAGCCACCTTGACAGCTACAGTTCCTTCTAGTCTTTCCATCTCTCCGAGCAGGGCGGACAAAAGCGAGGACTTTCCTGAGCCCACGTGTCCCACCACAGCTACCAGAGAGCCTTCTGGGATACACACATTCAGCCTGCACACAAACAGTGAGATTCAACTTGAGTCTCTTCAATTTAAGGAACAAACCCCTTCATTTCTAAATAATTCAAATTCTGTACATACTCATAAATCAATATATAGTTTATAAGTTGCAATTAAAATAGTTATATAACTGTAAAGAAAACAAATATTTGTTTTGCTGCATTGTGTCCTCCCCAGTTACATACATGGTAGGGTCAGAATATTAGGAACACCTCTGAATATAATGTAGTACAGTAAAACACCATCTTTAACTATGACCTCAATAATAATCATATAATTGATTTTATGCATTTATGACAATTCCACCAAAAACTGAAACATTTTGAGCTTCATAAACACAGATGTTATGTTGGAAGTGTTGCATTGAAGTGCACACAATTGTACAGGTGTTCCTAATAAAGTGGCCAGTGTGTATATGTTAATACAGTAAAAACCCCTGAGGAAGATGACACACACCTCTTGAGTGTCGGTGATTCAGTTTTAGACCAGCTGAAAACTCCATCCACTATGGAGATGCTGTGTGGGGCTGGGAGGAAAGAAGACTTAATATCATCTGTGAAACCGCCACATATACGTCAACACATAGACAACAGAGAAAGAAGCATCCGCACAGCATGTGGGAATGTACAGAAGGCAGAGGGCACAACAGACAAAGCAATAGAGGGAAGAGCAGGAGACAAAACTCACAGCCTACTGCTGCTTTGCGCTCCACACTGTCCTCCTGCAGCTCCTCATGTGATAGAAAAACTCTCAGCCGCTTCAAGGACACACTAGCCTGAAGAAGGGAGACATCAAATTACTGATATGCTATATGCGAATGTGAGCACATTGTTTTAAGCAGCACAAACTGAACTACATTCACTGCCTCTGTATTGAGGTGGAGGCAGAAATCTGAAAACTATTTCTCAAAACCTGGACAAGTAAAACACAATCTATCTGCATAGTGATATACCACTGGAGGGGAGTGAGTTGTTTTTTTATTTTGTAATTTATGTGAACCTCCCCTTTAAGGCAATCCGACTTCTGTGCTAGATCCAGGGGTCCTGTGTGTTATTGCACAAGTTATGGCTAACCACAAATTTTTTTTTATATTGCTTGTAATGTGACTTGTGGGTGATTGCCTGTATATCTCCTGTTGTTGGTGAGGTGAAGGTGTTTCATCTTGACAGCTGAGCTCTATGATGCAAGTCAAACCCTGGAATACATTCCCTAATATGCATAGTCACATTCCAGACAGTGTTTCAACAGCAATAACTTTTTATTATGTTTGTATTAAAAGCCAAAGTGTGAGCCAGTGTCAGCTCCATGAAACACCCATGAAATTTACAGCTCAACGGGGCTCAAAGATCAAAGCCTAAAATAAAGCAGACACTCGAAATGAGCTTCACATACCACGACCCTATTCTGAGAATGAAATCATAATAATTAACTGAATTCAACTCAAAACCTACACCAATGGAGAGTCCTCAAACTGTTATCAACAATACAGTCATCTAAGAACTTGCCAAAACTGAATGTGGGACGCACACCACTGCAGCCACTCAGACTTCCCTTTATAGTCAGTTCTTCCCAAAACTAAAACCTCTGGTTGAGAAACGTTTTGTACGGGCCACAAATAGGAATCCTGCATAAGCATTTTCACTTATTAAATTAGTTATGTGTAAGCATTCTGATTCATATTCCCCAAATTCATAATTGAGCTATTTTCACTATATATGTGAGAGTGAGTGCGCACCAACCTGCACGATACTACTAATGACCATTGGCAGCACGTTGAGTGGAAAACGCAGGATGTTGAAAAGTGCCAGTGACACAAAGGCCTTCTCTGCATCGAGCACATTATGTTCATTGATCAGCACGTACACACTGAAAGTGGACAGGGCGACCTGTGCAGTGACCCAGCAGGGGAGACAGAGAGAGAGAGAAATGTGATGGCAACCCTTTTCAATTTACACTTTTTCATTTGAGAAAAACAAGACAAGTAAGGTGAAGTGAAGTGCATCTTGATCTGTTGCCCTGTGTGATCTGGTCATTCCATCATTTTGTCCAGTCTGTAAAGATTCAGGTGCTGGCTTGAGTTTCTGTGCCAGCTGAACAACCTGATGCCATGTGTGGATGATGACACCCAGTGTGATTTTGAAAGAAACTATGGTATTGGACTCACCAAGAAGGGTGCGCAGACCCAGGTGAAGGTGGACACTGCACCCAGGTAGGCAGCCTTCTTCAGGACCTGCAGCTCACTCTCACGTATTTCAGACACCTTGTCTTTGAAGGCCAGTTCCCAGGCGTAAAGCTTCAGCACTTTGATGCCATTCAGCATCTCATTCATCAGCTTAATGCGATTGTCCTTGCTCTTCATCTGAGCCACCTGCTCAACACATAAATGCACACCATATCTAAGGGAACAAATAACAGTCTCACTATGCTACAAACTGAAGCAACAATAACTGTGAACCCTCAGCGCTAGCAGCTTGACTGAGTCAGCTTTAAGAGGTGGAAGTAACGATCTGTGTGACAATGTGTGCCGGTGCAGAAGGCCGACCTGGTAGGTTTTGGTTTTCATGGCAATGACAGCATTAACAGGGACCAGCAGAATCATCACAGCCACTCCAGCCAGCACAGATGGACCCAGGTTCTAAACAGCAACAAATGAAGTCATAATAAAACCGTATCAATGAAGCAATTCCATCAACTTCTCCGCACTATTGAGTTACATTAGAACAGCCCCTCACGTGCACTGGAAGTATTTCAGCATTACAGGAGTATCTGTTCTTCAAAACCGATGTGGCATCACATTAAATAATGTGCTGCTGTGTTGTTTCCAATGTAATACAGGACACAGATGATTTACACATCAGTATTTTCAGTTTTGATTTTACACTGTCCCAGCTTTTTCTGATTTGAGGTTATAGATTGTGACAGATTCTTTACTTATGTAAAACAACAAAGTATTTCTTCCACCACCGTTCAGCAATGATGATAAAATGTCAATTTCTTATTTTCTACTTAAAATTATTTAGCCGCAAATCAAAAGGAAGATAACTGCTAGGACAAAATGACTTTGCATTTCTGGATTCCCATGATTTGTGAGGGTGTAGTTTAGATTTAGTTTCTTATTCTACTGGCATTTTTATTGTTAGGCAATACAAAATGATAAAGTGAAATTAAAAGCTCATACACCATTTGAAAATGCACCGAGGAGATCACAGCTGCTCTGAGGATAGCTGAGTGCTGCCGCTGCATATCTAAGCCCCACCCTCAGTCAAACTGACAGACACAGACCTAAAGCTGGATGCACCATCAGCACTTAATTAAACCACAGACATGTTTTAAAAAAAGAAAAAAGGAACAGAGCCACAAGATTTGGCTCTGTTCAAGGAGTTGCCTCTCCCAACAGTATGAGAGAGTGTTCATCTCCATTATTCATGTGTAGTTACGTTACCATAACAGTAGCATGTGGTGCTGTGCTCCGCTAACTCAACTAACCTTCCTGTGTTTGGTAGGTGTACATCGTCTATTCTTAAAAAAGTACCATGCGATTAGTTATAATCACCTCCTTTCCTGTGGCGTGATAGGCTGATGTGCACTATCAAATAATGTCCCTTATTGACACTTCATCGACGTTTGTCATTTTCTTATTGCTTAAATTTTATATCATGATGAGTGTATATATTGTTTACCGTCTTTTGAACAGATCTTTCCAAATGGTCTTTTGGATTATATTACTTTTACTTGTTCAATGAACAAAAAGGAGCTAAAGAAACCAGATAAAAGTGTGAACAAAAAGATGGTTTGGTAACTATCAGTATCTCACTGTTCTACTACTGAACGACTTTGTCTTTCAGTACTGAGCTGTACAAACCAGTTCTTTTTCCTGGTAGCTGTTTTAGAACCAACTCCTACATAACTTCAGACCAAAGCAACAGTTTGTTGCCAGTCAACAACTGTAGGCCTGCGGTTGACTTGTCACCTTTACAAGTATTTAGCTTAAAAGTGAAACATTTCCTTATGTGAGACTTCCGCAGCACAGCTCCTGTTGGTTAGGATGGTGCCCTTGGAAGTGTATGTCTGTATGAATCTATAGGTGCTCTGTGATCCTACCTGCCAGAGAAAGTAGAGCGCCAGTGCCACCTGCAAAGGAGCAGACCATATCATGTTGATGTAAGTGATTAGGTCCATAAAGCGCTGAGCGTCTACCGACATCAGGTTGACAATCTCTCCCACTGTAGAGGTTCGCCGCGCTGCACTGGTTATAACCAAGGCCTGCAAAGTGCATAAGCAAGGAGGGAGAAGTCCATAAAAAGTCAGTCCAACTGCAGATTCATAGCCCAAGCATGCACTCAACTGACCAGTACAATAGTAAAAACATGAATTAAAATCAGGGTAATACAAAATCTGTGATTTGTTTCTAAACAGGGCAGAAAGCGTGGCTCGATAACTTTTGTACTATTTCTCTTATTCTTTACATATTTCCATAAATGTGCCTGTACCTTCCTGTAGACAGCTCCAATGATGGCGGTGCGCAAACGCATGCCTGAGACGAAGCAAATGTGAAAGTACTTCTGGAGGATTAATGACTGCACACAGGTACATGTGAAGAGCAGAGCTGTGTAGAAAAAGCCCCGCCAGGAGGGGGCGGTGGAGTCGTTGACATAGTGGATCAGCAGCCTGGATGGAATCAAGTGTAGGAAGTCACTACACTACACCATAATTAACAAACTATGTTGAAAATACCTGTGGCAAGGTCTTTGAAAGAAGTGTTCAGAGTATAGCACAGTAACCCTTGCCTGCAGATCATGATGATCAATGGACATAGAAGACTTCTCAGCCAATTTATTGAAGCCTTAATAAGAACTATTTTAAAATCACATTTATTAAGTTGAGCCACTATTTCCTACTGGTGTCTGTTGGTTTGTTCACACATACAGTAACTTAAAAAATAATGAATGGATTTGGATACAATTTTTTTTTGGAGATATAGGGTGTGGACCACAGAACAATCCATTAGGTTTTTATGATCCGGATCATCACCAGGATCCAGGATTTTTTTAAAGGATTCTTCACCACTGTGAGATAGGGCCAACTTAAATATTTTTGCTTACAACTCCAGACACAAGGCCTAGAATGCTTGGACAAAGACTGCATGATAACATCCCTATAAGATCTATCACACACCAAAGTCTGATCTGGATCCAAGTAATATTGCTGTTGTGGTTTAAAAAAAACAAACAACTTACTTCTGTGAGACAACAAATAATACTATAGACTTGCAACTAAGATCAAATTCTAACTGAAACTGCTGATTCAGTAGAGGGTCAACTATTTCTGCACTAGATCCTGAGGAAAACCAGCACTACTGAAATATCGGGGGGACTGCAAACAAGAAGAAACATTGAAGATTATGCCTGGATTCCATCACTGAAATCCTGCAGTGGTTCCTTCTTTGGTCTAGTCTGTGTCATGTGTTTACCAATGTCTGATGAAGGCTTGACTACAAAGTCCTGGTAAATAAAACATGGTCACATGACATGACCCAACATCACAGGTTAATGAAGAGCACCAGAACACATCTTTAAACAGTCGGGACACTGAGCTGCAAACAAGGCAGCTGCTGTGTCCTTTGAATGTTGCCATTTGCCTTCCACATTGGGTGAAATGTGACAGTCATCTTGAAAGATGGAAAGGTGGCCCCTTGACTGGGGTCCAACATACATTTTCATTCCATACAAATGGAATTTATGCTACAAAGCAGTTTGATCCTATCAAAGGTTCTATATGTTTGAAAAAAATTCAGCTTTCTCACCTGAGGATCTCAGGCCCAACAAACATGAGGATGTCCTGGATGATCTTATAAAGGCAAGAGATGAGGAAGTAGGGCCCGAAGGCCAGGCACAGTGCCCAGAACAACGAGGGCTCTTTTGTTTTCTTCTGGGTTTTTACAAGCAAGATTTCAGACTCTTCCACACCCGGGGCCTCTTTGCCATCTCTGTGAGGGACCGGTCTGGGGGAGTACAACGTTTTCTGCTCTGTGCTGGAATAAAGGGGAGAGGTAGACTGCTTCACTTACATATTCTAAATAAAAGAATTATTTGAAAGAAGGGTCAGAAATGTGTTATTGCGCTGTTATCGTCTCAGTCTTGTGCTCCAAGATGATATTTTCACACACTGTGTAGTTGTGAAAATGAACAAGAAGTGAAAATGAGTTGTAGGTGTAGTCAGTGCAAGTTGGTTGAAACTTCAAGTAGAAGCGGCTTCTCAAAACATCTAATCCACACCTGCAACCAATATTGACCCAAAGAAAACAAAACATTCCTGTTCAAGCAGTACACAACAAAACTGAGTATACCCCTGGCAGCATCACTAAAATGTTAATTGACTTAAAAATATATGATGCTGCAATACTTGTATTATTTTTAAGTTAAAGGGTGGTGTCTTATTAACTCTGCCAAGTCAGGCGTGATGTTTTTACTGGCATTTGTTGGTTTGATCACAGCATAACTCAACTAGTAATGAATAGACTTGGGTGAATTTTTTTATTATTAACTTTTTATCTTTATTTTATGTTAGTTTAATTTTTTGGATTGGTAGTATATGGTCCATAGATCAATAAATTAGACTTTAGTGCTGACTCAGTTCACCATCTAGATGCAGGAAGTTTTTTTAAAGAATTCTTTACCATTGTGAGTGTTGGAAAGACTGTATGTCAAAGTCCCCTTGTGGTGAAAGTGGGCAGCTGTGATCACTGCAACTAAAGTCAGTTTATATACTGTGTGTGTATATATATATATATATATACACACACACACACACACACACACACACACACGTATAATGTACATCAAAAATGCTGCACATCTAGCAGGTGCACCTTTACCTGGGTAACAACATAAAATATTTCTGTATAACAGGCATTCCCTGCTGTACTGAGCTCCAGACCTTTTGACCTTCTGGCACTGTAACTTCCAGCGTTGCACCAGCTGTGGTACCACTTTCTGGGAGCAGTCTTCAGGGTTCAGAGACCACAAGTCCTTCTCCTCCAGGGGACGCTTGTAGCCTGTTATCACCATCCTGTAGACAGGAGGACAAAAGTAGGGGTGTGCGATACTGAAAAATTTGGTATTAATCCGATACCAAGTAAATACGGGGCCAATATTGAAGATACTTTTTATTTATAAAAGCAGCTTAAGTACTTTCATGTAGGGGAGAGCAGTGCTATGTCGTGATGTATGAGATGAATACATCATCAATATGCTAAATCGGAATACATTTTCATGGCAGCATATTGCTGCCACCATTAAAAAGATGCCTTGCCCTGTATCTCCCTATAATGATAAAGCATTCTTGTTTGCAATAGAAAATGTGAAGTTGTCATGCCAAGTTGAATTTTGGTTTAAAAAAAAAAAAATAGTATCCCATACAGCTACATACAGTAGCAAATGCTTCGACTACATCCAATCATCTGCTGACAGCTGCTACCTAGCGTTAGTTCCAGAATTGAGAGCTGAGATCAGGGTGCAGAGTCGTTTTTCAGTCTGTCGCTCTCGTAGACAGGATCTCTAGGTCCACTATGAGCTACAGTCAGCTAAGGTTATCCATTCTGAATTACCACAGTCAGTAAAGTGAGATCTAAATGATTTGAGCAATTTTTTTAGGCCAAACAAAGCAAGGACATTAGCAGGTAAATACAGTGCAAATCTCCCAAAATAGCGCCCCATCCCAACATTCAACATGGCATGACATACATTCACATTCTCTATACGCTGCTGTAGAAGATCCGATATGACTAAAGTATTATTTACACCACTATATATAAGATACCTGGAAATTCCTTGCCTCTCTGAGAGCATAGTGCCAGTGTCCCCTGTGGCTGGGGTCTGGGTCTATCTGTGTCTGAGGGATTTCCCTCTCTTTTGCAGCTTGGAGTTCTCTTTTTTGTGGTTTTTCATATGTTTACAGATATTGGTGGTGTTGCTACAGTAGTGAGCACCCCCTCGGTACACACAGAGCAGTTCACACTGTTTTCATTTACTGCCATGAAATAATACCATACAACACTCCTCTTTCTCTCTGCCATCATGACGCTATGAGGCTTTCATGTTGGTATTGATAGTTCATTCATAGATTGATCATTATTTGGATCAATCTGCCCACCCCTAAAAGTGAATCGCTGAAGATCAGTGATATAGCACAAAGGACTCATATGATTGAAGTGTTCCAATACACATCTCCATCATCAGTATACTCCTCTCTACTCTGTTTAGTCAACTTTAAAACTATAAAAAATACAGTCCATTTACCAACTTTAAACACCTGATAAATTGAAATGCTACAACTATTTACACAGAAGTCAGCCCTCACTTCCACCCACACTGCCTGGAACATGGGTGCACAACAAGACTGGTCACATGACCTTACTGTTTTTATTTGGATTTTCCCACATTTGAGGGCTATTTCACAAAAGCAGAATTAAGAAATCATAGATAACAAGACAAAGCGAGGCTTAACCTAGTCTACTAAGTGCATCCTGGCTTAACACATTTCCCGAAGGCTAAGCCAAGTTGAGGAGGGCCGGCTAGGTGAAGCCAGGTGTATGCAACTCAGATGAATGCACATTCACTGTGTTCTTCAACAGATCGATCCCAATCCCACGTTCACTGATGCTCATATAGAAGCTGCATTCCATTCGTTATGGTGCATTAACTGTGGCCCAAATTCGACAGTGAATTGCAGTGAATGCACATGCTAACAAGATAAACAAAAGAGTCCTCCTCCCGTGGGCATACATGTGCCCTCAGATCGTCCCCCATACATGACAAGTCAACACAGCACCTTTGCTGGATGTCATGGACCAGTGTGGTGAAAGCTGAACCAGAACTAACTTTATCACCACGCGGGTTCCAGCAATATAGCGTCACAAAACAGGAATATTATACTAAAAGGAAACTTTTTTCCCTTTAAATTTCCTTAAATAACATCTAAAATGGCACATAGGTATTGCACATGTATACTGCATTTTGAGCATTTTTTAACCTTCCCAAAATCTTCTAAAAGACAGAGACAACTGGAAACAACAAGTAAAGAGTCTAAACCTTCTCATTAGACTGCACTGTCAACACACCACTGAGGTATCGGCTCACCTGGAGATCCACCAGAAGGTTATTCTGGAGAGGAAAGAAGCTCCATACTCGGGACAGGGGTTCTAAAGACAAAAACCATACAGTTACACCCAAAAGATGTTACTGCTGCTGAGATTCTGATCAAAGAATATTTAGAGATTATATATTTAAATTGCAAGTCAATTTATGATGGGGCTGATTAGTGACTGGAACAGGGGTCAGCAACCCTCGGCTCATGAGCCACGTGCGGCTCTTTAGCCCCTCTCTAATGGCTCCCTGGCTACAACTATGCTTGCAAAGTAGATCTGGCTGGCTGGTTAACCGGTCATCACATCTCCAAAACCTCTGAGCAGATTTCTAAATTAGCATTTCCTGGATTGACTGATCACATTTTTAAAAACTAGATGGTTATTTTCTCGACTGAAAAAATATCAAAATTTAATAAAGTGGCATACTGATACCCCTAGGATGAAAATTATAACAGATTTGAGTCTGCCCTGTCACCACCGTGGGATAATGGAACAGTGTAGTGTCCATCGCCTCCATTTACTCTGTTGGTCATCCGCATACTACTCGCGTACATATTTTGTTTTTTCAGGGCATTTTGGTGATTTAGTCCATTTGCACAAACACAGGTAGGACAGGTCTGCATTGCTATTTATAGATACTCCCAGTTTGTAAGCCTACACATGGCAGACGATTTTTTTTCCCCCACTACACAATCAGTTTTGTTAAAATAAAACAATAAAAATAACAAAAGAGTCAACTACTGTCCTTCTTGTAGTATCTATGATTTTATAAATGCACCAAACATGGTGTTACTGCAATGGGGATGGAAAGTTAAAGTGCCAAATAGTCTAATCATAAATAGCCTCCAGTCACCTTCTGGTAAAACATGCATGCATGCTCATTTAGACCTGTTTGTCCTGTTGATTGGCTATTTGGCCAGTAGGTAGTGGTACCTGCATGTAAAGGGCTCAAATTACTTTTGCAGCTCCATGTAGTTATTTTTTTTTTTTCTTGTTTCTGGCCAAAAATGGCTCTTCAGATAGTAAAGGCTGGCGACCCCTTGAAATATTACAGGGGGAATGATGAACACTGTGGTCCTCTGTAACTGAAGTCGTTCTGCTTATTCTAGACGGTACTTGAACCGTACTGAAATTACAGGATGTGGTCTGTGATAGACATGGACGTTCCCTGGGACAAGTCAAAAGAGAATACCAGTACTTCCCTCCAACAGACTATTTATTGAGCTCTTACTCTGCTGCTGGATTATTTACAGTCTGTCCTTCTTACATGTTTTTGTCCATCAAAATCTTTTTTACTTCCTCTGTTTTCAAACAAAAGCCAATTTTCTTTTTGAGCCAATAAAAAAGCAGAGGAACAAGCAGTTCTTCCCACAGAATGAACTCCACTTTAAAATCTCAGAAGGTGTCAAACTTTGAAAACCTGTGCTATAAAATGAGAGGTTAAACCCACAGATCCCCATTTGAATACTCCATCTGTGTTTGGTAAAACATGAATAATAAGGCATAATCATAAGGCATGACTTAATACAACATCCAAATAGGAATTCAGTTTGAGGAATGTTACAGTATTCTATGGCTGTGTTGTTCAGCTTAACTACTATGGTAAACAACTATCCATAAGTAACCAAATTTGTTTTCCGGCTCTTGATATAAGCGTGAGTGACAGCGGGTGTGGCAGTCTCACCGAGTCTTTAACATTCTGGGCAAAGAGGGGCAGCTGGTCCGTCAGGCAAGACAGGAACAGAGCGACTAGCAGCAGAGCATAGTAGATATAGAAGGTGGTGTACCTCCACACACTTACTGTCACCAGCTAAAAAAAAACAAACAAACAAACAAACAAAAAACAGACAAAGTCTTTAATCCTGATCTGCCGTATGAGATGCTGCTTTATTTGCAATACATCTATTATACTATTGTCTCTTGTTTAAGGTCTTGAGAAATACTAGTCCCATCAAATTTCTTGCACTGCTCAGTGAAGACTGACCTGGTTGAGGGCTTGGAGGATCTTGGACCTGAAGGTGACAGTGGCACACAGCAGTGCCAGCAGCCAGTAGATTAGCATTACACCAGACGACTGAACCCCTTTCATCCGTTCATACTGGATTATCATGGTGGCCAGCAACTGGAGCACACACACATTTATACATCATGCTTGAGTTCATACTGCTGAGCAGGGCTGACATACTGTAGTCTCAGTTATAGTCTGCCAGCTACAGTGCTTCTACCCAGCATCCCTGTGCTGTTCCAGTTTTGGCTCCAGCTCTACCACATTCTTCACAAGCTCAAACTTTTGTAATGTTCTGCTTAGTGTTGCACGATATACCGGTACTAGTATGGTACCGCGGTACTGAGGCATTTAAAATGGTACTATACTGCATTTGGATGGGACCGGTACTTGCAGCGCCCCCGGCAGCGCCCGCCCGCAACAGAGGAAAACAGAGCAGGAAACAGCTTCCTCGTCCTCTGCTCACTGAGCAGCGTGGACTGGAGCAACAAACGGAGCAGGAGGAAAGCTTGGAGAGAGCAGAGACGTTGGAGAGGGAGAGGGAGAGAGCGAGAGAGGAGCACGGAGAGGAGAATGGC